AGCTGTGACCGGGCCAATACAGAAGGCCTCACCAGCCAGCTGGGCACCCACCTTCCTGTTCATCAAGACTGTCCCCAGGCCCCACGCCAAGCCGAGGGAGCAGCCTAGACTCGAGAGAGACAGGCCCGGCCAGCTGGGCTGACTGGGGAGAAGTGTAGACCAGGCCCAGACCCCGAGGCATCTCGGGCTCAGACAGCTTCAGATTGGAGGCAGACAGGCCGCCCAGCCCCGGCCCCCATTCGGCATCAAGAGAACAAAGCAAATTGCCTTTTTGAGGTCGGGAGTGGGGTGGGGGGAAAGACCGTACCTAGGGATTTTCAGATGAAAATGGGGGGTCAGGAAAACAGAGAACAAGACGACCGGCTGGTTCTAAGACACTAGACCAGAGGGCCCTGTGGAATGATGACCAGCATGTACAGTGTCTACACCGGCCAGCACGCTCTGGAAGCGGCCCGCGGCCAACGCAGGGGGAGCCGAAGTCAGCAGTGCCCGCCGGAGACGGACGGGCGCTCACCACGCTGGCGATGCCCCGCAGGACGAGCCGCCAACTTCCCTAAGGCCTCGCCCCTAGGTTCTGTGGTTTGAGGGATAGGAATGAGATGGCTCGAGTGAGAAAATTCTTGCTCTGACCTGGATCTGGGTGGTGGGCAGAAACGGGGTCAGGGCAGACGAGAGGGCAAGAGCGAGGCACGGCGGCCCCAGCCAAGGCCTCTTCCCACCGCCCGAGCGAGGAGCCTCCCGGGCTTCGTCCCCGCAAGCGCTCGGCCTCCGAAGCCAGGGAGCACATTCCAGCACAGAGAAGGAACCCCCTCTCAACGCTCAGCACCCTTACCCCGCGTCCCCGCTGCCGTATTTGCTCTTCTGTTTCCATCTCCTCCCCCAGATGCCACTTCAGTAAATCCGGTGACATCCTGGAGGAGGCGGCTTTCGGGTGCAACTCTGAATTCCAAGGTGAGATTTCACGGAGGTCGTGGGGTCCAGGTAGAGGACTGAACCCGAAAGGTGACACAGTGGTCAGGGATCGTCTTTTACAGAAGAACCCGGAAACTGGGAACAGAGTGAGATCAAGGACGGACGCCGTGGTGCCCAGGCTCCTGGACAGAGGTGCACTTGGGACCCTGCCAGCATGGGGAAGGGGACGAGGAGCCAGCCGGCAGCCTGCAGTGTGGCATTTAGAGTCTGAAACAGCTGCTGGATAGAAAGGTCAGTCGTGATCTCAGGTGGACACGGATTTTTCTCTGTTGTTGGGGGAAAATGTTACAGGGTGGGAAGCAGAGAAACAAAGGCTTCTGTCAAGAAGAGAATCTAAAACCTGTAGAGAAAAACACGCTGGCTCCTGAGTCCCTACAGCAATCCTGCTTCTTTCCTTCTGTTACTTCTCGGTTTCTGCCACGCTCCCTTTAAGGAAACTGCTCTTCCAAAGGTCACCGAGGAAGGTTTTATTGCTAAACCCAGCGTCCTTTCCACTCCGATCTGGCTGATGCTCTCACTGCCACAGGACACCGCCTGCCGGTTCCTCCCACAAACACGCTAACTCGGTTTCCATGACAGTATACACGCTACCCTTCTCTCTGCCAAGCACGGTCGCCTCCCTCCTCTTCCCTTGCCTCCAACCCCATGAATGCGAGTGTTCCCTCGAGACGGGGCTGGGCCCCCCGACATTTCATTTCCTCCCCACCGGAGGAGAGAATCCGTTTGTTTCCATGTATTAGAGGTCGACTCCTCTGAAACTTGCAAGTTTTTTTTTGTATTTTTATTTTTTTTTTAATTCAAGTTAGCGAACCTACCATGTATTGTCGGTGTCAGGAGTAGACCCCAGTGATTCATCACCTACATAGAAACCCCAGTGCTCATCCCCCCAAGCGCCCTCCTTAATGCCCATCACCCATCTAGCCCATGTCCCCACCCACCTCCCCTCCAGCAACCGTCAGTTTCTTCTCTGTACTTCTGGTTTGCCTCCCTGTTTTTATCTTTTTCCTTCCCTTCCCCTATGTTCATCTGCGAAGCTTGTATTTTTAATCCCAAGTGGCATACATATATCACAGATGCGCCGCTGGCCTTTCCTAGGTGTAAATCCTATTATCATCTCAAATTCAGCATCGGGGTGACTAGAATTCCCCCCCACCTCCTCCGAAGAAGCTCCTTCCTTCCTCTCAACTCTGCAGCATAAGCACCACAGTTTCCCAAACCACACACAATCGTTAACTTTGTAGAAAAATCTGATTCCACGTTCTGTGTATCTGTCAAAAAAAAAAAAAAACCTCATCTGTGCCTGGCTGGCACGGTCAGCGGAGTGTACGACTCTTGATCTCCTGGGTTGTGGGTTCGAACCCCACGTCGGGTATAGAGATTCCTTAAAAAATTAAAATCTTTAAAAAAAATCCTTGTCCTTCTCCTCTTACCATAAGACGCTGCCATCAGTCTAAGATTACGTGCCTTTGACTTCCACAACCGCCTATGAGACTAATGCTCCGTCTTAATGTCTCCATGGTCTTTCTGTTGCTTACAAATAAATGCTTTTAGGTTTCCTCACAGCCAACAGAACACATAGCAAATAATCCTTTATTAGCCCCAAAATGCTGGTCTAGCTCATGTTCCGCTTCAGTCTCTCCCTATCCAGTCTGTCCCAATGGTTACCGTGACCTAAGGTCTTCCATTAACACCCAAAGCCTTGGAAAGGGTCTCAAGCATTCAGGTAGTGTTCCATTCTCACACCTCTGCCTTTCTCCAGTTCTGAGTTCATGCCACGCCCTTTCCTGGCACTGCCCTCTTCCCCCTGTGCCCCCTTAGGCAAACTTTACTGCCTGCCAACTGATGTAACCAGAACAAGCTGACCTGAGGCACATCGGTGGCCCCACTCCTACTCAACATCCACATAGAGCCATCTTGCCTCCCCGACCCTCAACCCTTCCAGAGCCACCCAGATGGGAACCGCCACCTCGGCCCTGAACATCCACTGGCAGGGAGGCACCAGGAGCCTCTCGGCCACCACGGGGATGGTTCACTTGGAGAACTCCACCCAGTTCTGAAGACCCAGGATTCGGTTTTCCTGTATTCTGACATCAGAGCCTTCCTCTCTGCACCTGGAAGGATCCCACGTCCAATTTGAGGACTCCTGAAGCTCCGACTTTTCTCTGCCAAGGGCTAAGAAACATATTCCAGAGAAGGAAACTAAAAAAGAGACTCGGCCTCCCCACCCCCACCTTTTCCCATTTACTGGGAGACTTCCTTTCCCAGCCGGGCCAGCCTGTGTCTGAACATGGTGTATAACCTCGGCACTTGGCCCTAACGGCAGTATAAACTCTATTACCTCTGACCTCCCCAGGACCACTCACCCCCCAGGCCAGCTCCACACCGTCATGCCCCAGAGAGAAGATTCTCTCCCACATTGATCTCCAAGCCACTTGTGATGAATGGAATGACCGTTCATGACACTAGGAGAGGTCGGTGAGCCCTGTGTTCTTCTCAACTTCTATGGGACTCATGAGCATCGGGGAAGGGGAACCACACGGCACCGGGGCTCCTGGTAGAGGTTACTTCTGGCATCACCTGCTCCCACCACTCAACTGGATTCTCCTTTTTATTGCTGCTGTTTCACGTAAAGAGCCCTCACCCTGTTTGAATCCTTTGAAGCCACAAATATACACCAGGCTCTTTTCATGTGCAAGAGTAATTAAATCAAATGGGTCCCCTAAAAATGAGTAAGCCCTCGTGCTCGGCTTCAATGAGGAGAGGATGACAGGTAAACACACTCTTTATCCGTAATAGGAGACAGACAATGGTAATGTCCATTAAAGGACTGGAAATAAGAGCCTCCAGACGCCGCTGTGCACTCTGTGCATATTATTTTATCTCATTAGGCTCACAAAAACACGGAGGTGTTTTTCAGAAAAGGAAACCAAGGCTCACAGAGCCCTAGTGACTCCCAATAGTCAACCACTAGTAGATTCTATTCATGTCTTCGATCTCCACCTCATGGGAGTCAAAGGTGAAAATAACGCCTAACTGAGACATCAGGACAGCCTTTTGAGATTGTGGAGAATGTCAGAATCGTGTAAAACAGACGGATAAGGCAGAATGGAGGCAAGGACCAGGAAGAATGCAGTCAGGGGAGCCGAGCACAAGAAACAGCAAGGGGAGGAGGGGAGGATTTGACGGGGAGGTTGGAGCAGAACGTGGATGGCACTGGCTTCCGAGCTGAAGGACCTGTTAATTCAGTTAATTCAGAGGCCACAAGGTGGGGGCACCTGGGTGTGGCTCAGCCGGTTAAGTGGCCGATGGCGGCTCAGCTCATGATCTCACGGTTCATGAGTTCGAGCCCCACATCAGGCTCTGTGCTGTCACCATGGAGCCCGCTTCAGATCCTCTGTCCCCAACCTGTGCACGCGCTCTCCCTCCCTCCCCCCCCCCCCCCCCCCCCCCCCCCGTCTAAAATAAGCAAACATTAAAGAAAAAAGAAAGCAATAAGGTGTATAATCCCAACTCCATCAGGGGCCCTTACTATGCAACAAGCCAGGTAAGGCTTTACAACCTGGGATCTAGCCTAGGAAAAGTCAGAGAGTGGGAAATGCCGAGACGTAGGAAGATAACCTGAATGACGGTTAAGAGAATTCTTGGCATTTTTAGTAATAGCAGAGGGAATGGAGACAGAGGTCACACTGACATTGTGCCACGGTAGGTCACCACTGAATCCCCAGCACCTAGTGTCGTGCGTGGGAATTCATGAATAAACGCAAGTAACTCACGAATCAGGCTCTCACCAAAACTTAATGTAAATACACTCTCCACGCCAGGGACTCGAAGAAGAAAACAGAGGGCTGTGCAAACATCTCTGCAGACAGTGGACAGATTGCCAGGAAAGTCAGTCCTAATGAGCAATGGGAAAATCCAACAGAAGGAAACAACCACCACACTAAGAGGAAAGTAATAGTGAAAATGTCAGCTTCGGGGAGACAAAGTGCACCCTCCAGTTCTCTTGTCCCTGACCGAGGGCACGGACCATGTTGCTCAGTATTGAACTGATCAAAGGTGAAGGGACCCTTCTGGATCTGCAGAAAGTAGGATCCCAGGATATCAGGTAAACAGAAGTCCACTTTACAGACGTATGGAAAGAGGCCTCGCACGCAAAGCCGGGGAGGCCAGAGCTCAGGAGGTCTCAGCAGAGGCTCCTAAAGAGAGCAGGGGTGAGCCCCCCACCTCCATGGGCTGACTGGGCCCCTCCTCCCGCCCCCGGCTCCACCTCCCGCCCCTCCTCC